TTATAGTGACTATTTCTTGAAGCAAAAAAAAAAAGTTGTGTAAGAATATAGCTTCTTAGAATGAATGTGACAAACCAGTTTTCTGTAGAAAGGTGTCTATCTTATCTTCTGTTGATGAAGAATTAGTATAATAGAGTTACAGAGTAGGAAGGGACCTTGAAGAACTTCTAGTCCAATCCCCTGCTCATGCAGGAAACCTTATACCATTTCAGACAAATAGTTGTCCAATCTTTTCTTTAAAACCTCTAGTATTGGAAATCCCACAATTTCTGGAGGCAAGTCTTTCCACTGATTAATTCTTTTGTCAGTATTATATAGATTAGAATAATATTGAAATGATTCCTGATTAGTTACGGATCTGTATACAGCTTTACATTTACATTCCAAATAGATGTGCAAAATCTATTATTATATTACTTTATTTAATTTTAAAAGCCAATAACTTATTAAAACTTTTTCTCCCTTTTCCTATTATTATTGTCATATGAAGTGCAATAAAAAGTCTATATCTATATCGGTCTGGAGATAAATGGGATGTATAAAGCAATAAGATTTCTTGGACTTTTTTTCTCTAAAAATTCAATTTTAATCAACTGTTGTGTCTTTTCATATGAAGTCTGTGCCATAAAGCAACCTCAAACCCATGCTTTAGTGGTTTCCCATATCAAAGACAGTAATATAACTGAGTCCCTATTAATACAAATAACACCTGCTATTTCCTATTCCATTTTATCATGTAGAAAAGATATTTTAAAAGATCACTTAAAGAATGCAGATTTTCATGAAATAGAGCAATGAACTTCATAGAAGCAACTCAATTTTAGTGATGTCCCCATTACATGCATTAACTTTAGATGACAATGAATGGGAAATCAAATAATCTAGCTAATAGCAATTCTTAAATGCAGGAGAAATATTTTTTTCTTGGAAAGGATTACTAAAATGTCAGATTATAAAAACTTATAATCTTCCAGAAGACCCAATACTTCTGATATCAAAGCTTCATTACTTGATCCTGAAGAGTTTTTACCACTTCTAGTTAATCAGTTTTAGAAGTTCACTGATTTCCCACAAACTTCCAAGTGAGAAATTCTGTTCTCGATCACTTCTATTTTAGAACATTTAAGATTGTCTTTAATATCTGTTATATATATATTCTAAACTCCTAACTTTTCACCAGTTGCTCACATGGTTGCTTTAGGGAGAAAAGAAGGTGGTAGACTTTTCCAGGATTTCATCCAGACATATAACTTACAAATCCTGCCTGTTAATCTAAATAGTATTTGTTTATGTTTATTCAATGCATTTGAGTGGGAATCCCAAAGGTGCTTTTTCAGGAGGCAGCTGAACTTTCTTGTTTTTTTCTTTGAAGATGTTTCCCTTTTCATCCAAGAAGCTTCTTCAGCTCTTTACTGGATGGTGGAAAATGGAAAGATTTATACTCCTTCCAGACCGTTGGTCATTTGCGTTCTTTTAGAGAATCGTTGAGGCCCCCTGGAGGTTTATCTGTGTCCTCAGGGTCAACTGAGTGGTGCAAATGTGTGTGGAGCCTTTTTGGCTGCAGGATGTTTTCTGCCCTGTGTCCCTTCACTGTTGAAGAAGTCTTCAAAGAAAAAACACGAAAGTTCAGTTGCCTGCTGAAAAAGCACCTTTGGGACAACCAAGAATTGGATGACTGAGAATCTTCATAGACATTTGGGTGGGAGACATTAGTAGAATCTGGTTCCTTATGTGTACAAAAATGTGTGCGTGTTTTTTTACACATATTTACTAAAAGAAAGTTATTGCTCTTTTTAAAATGATCTCCTCAAAAAGACAAGTAGATTTTTTTTTATATAAAAGGTAAATGCAAACAAATTTTTTTGGAGAATTTTAACTTTGATTACTCTGAGATCATTGATAGTCACCACTTCCAATCAATAATATGTTTCACTTACTTGAGTGTCAATATGAATGTGTACACAAATACCAGTGAGCTGATGCAAAAGTGCTGGGCTAAGGCAAAGCATTCAATATTAATTGGATTAATAAGAACTGATTAAAATTAATTACCCCGTTTATGAGATTCACTCCTTGAAGATATCCTTTCCTTTCATATATAGATGACTTATGCCAAATAAGCAATAAAATATTATTCATCTTTATTTTTCCAGCAGAAATGGAAGGATGGATGGATGGATGGATGGATGGATGGATGGATGGATGGATAACAATCATAATGGAAATGGGGGAGGGGGACAAGAAGGGGAAGTTGCACCAGAAAGAATAAAGAAAAAGAGATAGGAATATGACAGGAAGAGTGGGAAGAAAGGAGAAGGACAGAAAAGAAAGTGAGAAGTTTAGTTTAAGTTTCACAGATAAGTTCCTCTTCTCCAGCAATGGCTGATCTTCTAAAGTACTCAGCATTGATCTTTTAAAAACTTATTTATTCATCAAATGAAAGATACAAGTTTGAAGGAGCTGTGACGGGGATGCCCCCTTAGGAACCTCTTAACATGATGGGGATGCTCCCTTAGGAACCTCTTAAATATGGGGTGAGGGCCATGGAAATTAAGTTAGGATTAAAACTGTGAAAGTTGGTAGCTGACACAACTGAATTGGGTAACATATTCTAGACTTTGACAGTTCAGTTACTGACATTTTACATCTCTGATATCTGCAATCATTTACTGTACATTTTTCTCCACTTCCTTTTATTTTCTCAGTACATATGTACTGTATTCATATGTACTTATTTCAGGTGAGGGAAAACCCTGCCAGAGCTGCTTAACTCATACTTTGCATCAGTCTTCACACAAAAAGAAACTATAGCCCAACATACCCCCCCAAAAAAACCCACTGCAAAAGACATATTAGAAACAAAAATTAAAATAAGCAAAAAAAAATAGTAAGAGAACACCTATCTGACCTTGATGAATATAAATCACTGGGACCTGACAGATTACATCTCAGAGTTCTGAAGGAGCTGGCAGATGTTATCTTGACTATGAGCCAGCAATGTGTAGCAGCAGCCAAAAAAGCTAATACAATCCTGGGTTGTATAAACAAAGACCTAAAATCAAGATCACGTGAAGTATTATTACCGCATTATAAAACTCTAGTAAGACCACACCTGGAATACTGCAGCCACTTTTGGTCACCATATCATAAAAAAGATGTTGAGAGTTTGGAAAAAATTCAGAGAAGAGCAACTAAGTAAAGGCCTGGAGACTAAAACATACAAAGAATGGCTGCAGGACTTGGGTTTGGCTAGTCTAAAGAAAAGAAGAAATAGGGGAGACATGATCCAGTATTTGAGGGGCTGCCACCAAGAAGAGGGGGTCACGTTATTCTCCAAAGCACCAGAGGGCAGGACAAGAAACAATGGTTGGAAACTGAACAAAGAGAGAAGCAGCCTGGAATTAAGGAGAAACTTCCTGACAGTGAGGACAATTTTTTTTAAATAAAAGTTTTATTGGTTTTTTCCATTTTTTACAAAAGCTTAGGATACAACGTGGTGGTCAGAGTGTCAAATCATTCAAGAACAAAATCATATACATATAGCTCAAATTAATTATAAACAATTTCTTGACAGTGAGGACAATTAACCAGTGGAACAGCTTGCCTCCAGAAATCGTGGGCGCTCCACCACTGGAGATTTTTAAGAAAAGGCTAGACAACCACTTGTCTAAGGTGGTATAGATTCTCCTGCTTGAACAGGAGGCTGGACTAGAAGGCCTCTAAGGTCCCTTCCAGCTCTATTCTATTCTATTCTATTCTATTCTATTCTATTCTATTCTATTCTATTCTCATGTTTCATTCAACACTCAGGCAAGAAAATCAGTTTTTCAATATTCTTGTTTTCTGACTTAAAGAAGTTAATGTATGACGGAATTGGCTGCAAATCTCTCTCTCTCTCTCTTTCTCTCACACACACACACACACAGACACACACACACAGACAAACACACACACATCACTAACTTGTCTCATTAAAAGAGCAAAATGGGTGGACCTGAAAGCTGTAGTGCAAGAAATTGTACAGATTATATTTGTGCCTAGTAAATAATGAAATTTGGAAGAAACAGAATTTTGACCTCATTACGAAGGTTTAGATCGGGGGTCTTCAAACTTGGCCCTTTTATGACTTGTGGACTTCAAATCCCAGAATTCCTCAGCCAGCTATGGAACATTCAAGATGCTCTTTAAGGGGGCTCCTTAATTTCATGTAAATGGGGGAAGATACCTTATTCAAAACACTGTTCCATCAAACTGCTGATATTCTTGAGTTAACAGAAGAGCTTGCTTGAGAAACATAGAAAATCTCCTTAGAGCAAATCATTTCAGTGGTGTGTTTCCTAAAACAGTTTTTTTTAAAAGTAATGTCCTAATTAACTGAGTCTTTCTTAGATCTTTGGCTGTTCCAGAACATATTTGGACCATCCTCACTGTAAAGACTTTAGAACAAAAATGAAAAACAGAAACATCCCCCACCAAAAAAACAAAATAAACCAAAACAACCCATAAAAATAATTATGAAGAATGTTGCTGTGATAGAACAAAAAACGTAGTGTACATTTCTGTTGGTATCAGCCTTACAAGGTAGCTCAAACAGGAAGCACAGCAAGATAAAATCATTCTTCTTTGTCGTAAAGTTACATCAACAGAATCTTTCAAGTCTAAAAATACATTTCTTTCCCGTTGCATTTATAGCTGGGGTGTTTGCTATTCTCCCATTCCTTTTGAAGACTAAACTGCCTTTATCTGACCATTTCCCTGGTTCTTCCTTCTGTATCCCAAGACCATTCCCACACATCATCCTAAAACAAATGATTTTATGGATATTTCAGAATATCCTTAGCAAAATAATCAAAGTCATCTGCCTGGACATTGGGGCTGAAGGCAGTTTTAATGTTAATTATTTGTTTCATCCAAAAATTATACAGTAGTCATCTTGTCTCCATTGCTGATTCTTGATTTCAGCTTATAATGGTTGTTGTAATTTGATAAGATTTTATACGATGAACTACAAGGATTTCTTGGTCATCCTCTCAACAACCTGTAGGACAGAATTTATATCATTCTTGTTGAGTTATTTTGTTGCATCTAAGAATTATGCAGTAGTCACCTTGGCTCCATTGTAGAAGCTTGACTTCAACTTATAATGGATGTTGTAGTTTGATAACACTTTATAAGAGGAACTACAAGGATTGCTTGGTCATGCTCTCAGCAGCCTGTAGGACAGAATTCATATCATTCTTCTTGTATATAACCCTATCACACCTGCCACTTGTTTTTTCATGCATGGACTACCTTGGAGTTTTGAGGCACTATATTTCAGAGAAGGTTTCCATTCCTTTCATATTCTAAAAAAAAATATGTTCACCAGTTATTCAAGCTGTTAAGCATCATATACCACAGCAATTTTCAGATAACTGTAGCTTTTGACTGCATATGAATAACTGAAATTGCAGCTCACTGGCAGGGGTAATTGCATCAAAAGAGAGTTAATCTTTGTTTAACTCCTGTGACTTTATGTACTTGATATACTGAAAGCAATAAAGTGCCACTGTTTCAAAATAAGGAATTTGTTTTCTTTCGGTAAGATCATCGAAGGCTTCTCTAAAAAGAAGAGTGGTGGGAAAGATGTAAAATCCCTTAAGAATCTTACATCTTGCTATAAAAAGATGGTCTCTGGAATTTGTTTGAAAGATGTTTCTTTTTTTTCCTTAGTGCTTCAGAACTTGGAAATTGGATTTAATCAATAAGGGCTTCAGGCTGATAATTGAACTGTTTGAGATCATATAATTGCAATGCTATTCTTAAAGATCTTAGCAATCTATGCTAGAAGCTTTGAAAATGTACATTTAAAATACATCTTCCACAAAATGATACAGAGGTGGAAATGAAGGAACAAGCATCTTGTTGTTGTTGTTAGTTGCAAAGTCGTGTCCGACCCATCGCGACCCCATGGACAACGTGTACTTTCTTGCAAATAAGAGTGGAATATGTAAATGGAATTAATTTAGCTTAGTTTTCCCTTAAGTCAATCTTTCTAGTTTATTTCATTTTTGCTTGTATTCATCAGCACTCTGTTCTGTCCCATTAAAATCTGAAACATTCAAGAGAAAACTCATGTTTTAAAAGCCCATTGGAAGTTACATTGTTTGGAAGCCCTCATCCTCCCTGTTTCTGAGGTCTTCTGTAGTAGTAGTAGTAGTAGTAGTAGTAGTAGTAGTAGTAGTAGTAGTAATAAAGTTGGAAGGGACCTACAAATAGAAATAGAAAGACTGTGACAAAAGCAAGCAGGGGTAGTACCAATAGTAATAGGCTCCTTAGGTGCAATCCCAAAACAACTGGAGCACCACTTGAACACAACTGGCATTGACAAATTCGCTATTAGTCAATTGCAAAAGGCGGCCTTATTAGGAACTGCTTCCATCCTCCGACGATATCTGTAATACCATCAAACATCCACATCTGCCTATCCCAGATCCTGGGTAAGGACTCGATAGGTAGACAAAATGCCAAATCCAGTCTGAACATCTGGCTGACTGTGCGATGATCCATAATAATAATAAAGTTGGAAGGGACCTTGGAGGTCATCGAGTCCAACCTCCTGCTCAGGCAGGAAATCCTACACCATTTCAGACAAATGGCTGTCCAGTCAAACTTCCAGTGTTGGAGCATTCACCGCTTCTGGAGGCAGGTTATTCCACTGGTTAATTGTTCTAACTGTCAGGAAGTTTCTCTTTAGTTCTAGGTTGCTTCTCTCCTTGGTTAGTTTCCATCCGTTGCTTCTTGTCCTGCCTTCAGGCGCTTTGGAAAATAGCTTGACTCCCTCTTCTTTGTGGCAGCCCCTGAGATACTGTATATATGCTCTTTCTATTAACTCTTAACTGTTAAATTTTGAAATAAAAAAAAATTCATAAAAAGGAAGTTACATTGTTTGAAGTATCTTTTTTGTAGGTTTTGATGTAATCTGAAGATGAGAATTGGGTTTGAATATTCAAGGTAGTTAAAAACTTGTGAATAGCAAAATTTGGACTTACACGATATTCTAGCTTGTGCAGATATGATCCAAAAATGTAAAAAATATACTCTTTAAATATGTATTCCTTTTGACTTATCGATCTAAATATGCACTCATATTTTTGATGTTGCTGTAACCCATTAGAGAGCCAATTTAGTGAAATGGTTAAGACACAAGACACTAGTGGTTAAGGAGTATACATTGTTTAAAGTATATTTTTTTGGTATGTTTTGGGGTAATCTGAAGATGAGAATTGATTTGGAATATTAAAAAAGTTAAAAATTAGTGATAGCTAAATTTGGATTTACACAATAAACTAGTTTGTGCAGATATGCTCAGAAATTGTACCAAATATATACCCTTTAAGTATTTATTTCTTTTGACATCGATCTAAATATACCCTCATGTTTTAGATGCTGATATATCACATTAGAGAGCCAGTTTGTGGTTAAGGCACCAGGCTGAAAACTAGGGGATGAATTCTAGTTCTAGTTGTGGTTCTAGTTCTAGTTCTAGTTTTAGTTGTGGTTCTAGTTCTCGTTCTAGTTCTAGCCCCCACCTCAGGCATAAAATCAGCTTGGTGATATTGAGCCAGTCATTCTCTTTCGGTCCAAGGAAGAAAAAGAAAAATCTTGCCAAGAAAACTGCAGATGCTTGTCTGGGTGTGCACACACAGGTGTGCGCGCACACACAAATCATATTAGGAAATCTTGATAAATGTATAAGAAATCTCAGTACAGAGGTACCTTTTTTCTTGTTTGGGTGCCTTCTTGCATTTTAGTATTATAAAATGCTATTGCACTGAGTGTTGTGACACAGTGAAGAACATCATGTAATTATATATATGTGTGTAGGTCTTTGGTTGTTCGGGTTTTCTCCCGCGTAAAATTGGAAGTGTCTTGGCGACGTTTCGACAAAGTCCCATTCGTCATCTTCAGGCTGGTGTTTTCAGCTTCATGCTTCGAGCAGCAATGTGTGGTCTTAGCTGTTTCTTCCTTTTAACTGCCAGTGGGGGTATGAACTGATTGGCTGTATTCTGATTGGGTGGAGGTGTGTTCTGATTGGTTAGGGGCTTGGCCCTATATATATATTCTGAGGTTTTCACAGGTGTTTGTATGTAGGTCTTTGGTTGTTCGGGTTTTCTCCCGCGTCAAATTGGAAGTGTCTTGGCGACGTTTCAATGAAGTCTTATTCGTCATCTTCAGGCTGGTGTTTTTGGCTTTGTGCTCCTAGAAGCACGAAGCTGAAAACACCAGCCTGAAGATGACGAATGAGACTTCGTCGAAATGTCGCCAAGACACTTCCAATTTGACGCGGGAGAAAACCCGAACAACCAAAGACTTACACATATATATATATACACTTGGAGGTGAGACTCAGTGGCATTTGGAATTTGCTTCTCCTTCCCTGTGAATGGGTTTGTTTGAGTAAACTGTGGAATAATTGATATCCTTTGGGAATTAAATTCTTCTATGTGCCGAGGAGTAAGATAGAAGTAATAAAACACTCAAAATGGAATACAAGCTGAGCCTTCTAAAGCAAATTAGATCTTAAGATATTGATAGGCATCTGCTTTAGATGAATTTGACGCTGTTCCTTTTTTCAACATATTGTTGAGATTTGGAAAGTTAAAAGACCTTGGGGAGTTTGGTTGAATTCTGAAATTGCAAATTAGTCTATCTTTCCTTATTATTTTGTTCCTGCAGCTGGTAGGATGCAAATATATACTTGATTAAATACTTCTTTACTTTAACGAACATTAGGAAAGTTATCTTTTTTTTTCTCCAAAACAAAACGTAAGGTAAATTTTGTTTAGGTACATATTTTAAGTATCTAGACAAAATAGGAGGGACATGATAGTAGTACTCCAGTATTTGAGGGGCTGCCACAAGGAGGAGGGGGTCAACTTATTTTCGAAAGCACCAGAAGGCAAGACAAGAAACAATAGATGGAAATTAATTAAGGAGAGAGCCAACCTGGAATTAAGAGAAAATTCCCGACATTCAGGATAATATACCAGCGGAATAGCTTGCCTTCAGAAGTTGTAGGTGTTTCATCACTGGAGGTTTCTAAGAAGAGACTGGATAGCCATCTGTCTGAAATGATATAGGGTCTCCTGCTTGAGCAGCTCTATTCTGATTGATTGATTGATTGATTGAATAAGTGTGAGTGATGAAACAATCATATATCATTGCAATGTAAACTCTAAACTTTGCATATTTATGTGTGATGCTTCACCTACATGTGACACAATATGTTTCCTAATTTTTCATTGTGGTTCAGAACAGACATACAGTATGTTGAGAAAGGGAATTATTTTAATTAATAACCTTAAATTGTAGTCAGATTGTTTCCTAAAATTAAAATCAAAACTGAATTTAATGTTCTATTTCAAGGATATATTTTTTAAAAAAAAAGTTCAGGAAAGTTTCCAATTTTGGTGATATTCATCTGGCTGAAACAAGGCTTTTCTGTCATATGACTAATTGGATTATTCTTGTCTGTTAATCCCAACAGGTGCACAGATTATGGGATTTACAACATTGCACTTCCTGATTGAACCTTCAGATGCTGTCACTACACGGGGAAGTAACATTTTGTTGAATTGTACGGCAGAATCAGATCAAGGATTTCCTGTAATCAAATGGAAAAAGGATGGTGTCTTTTTAAACTTGGCAGTGGATGAGAGAAGGCAACAGTTTTCCAATGGATCTCTTTTGATAGAAAATATTGTCCATTCCAGACATCATAAACCTGATGAAGGCCTTTATCAATGTGAAGCATCATTAGAAGGAACTGGAGCTATCATCAGTCGAACAGCCAAAGTTTCAGTAGCAGGTAAGGATTCAGGTTGGGATGAGAAGATATTTTAGGGCTTATTTGAAGATGGAATTAAAAATCTGAGCATTTTTTTAAAGGTTTATTTCATTTGCAAAGCTAGAATACCTGGAATCTGGTAACACCTTCCAAGCTGATCAACTTTATTGAGGTATAAGCCTCATTTATTGAGGAGCCATGGGGGCACAGTGGTTAGAATGCAGTATTGCAGGCTAACTGCCCCCAGCTTGGAGTTTGATCCTGACTGGCTCAAAGTTGGCTCAGCCTTCCATCCTTCTGAAGTCAGTTAAATGGGGACTCAGATTGTTGGGGGCAATAGGCTGACTCTTTAAACCTTGTAAACCAAAGTGCTGACAAGCACTATGAAGTGGTATATAAGTCTAAGTACTATTGTTATAATATTTCAATAACAGCAGCTCATTTGATCACTTGCAAGAGAAGGTATGCTATTACATGAGTTAAAAAGATGAGAGACAGCTTGATGGGAATATGGTGGGAAGCTAATGGGTTTATGCAATAGCTGAGACTGAGGAAAAGCTCTCATAGAGAGGTGGGGGCTGAGTTTACTATCAGTTTGCAAACTGGAAGGACAAAAAAATCCACTCTCCCTGTTCAGGTCTGCTGGAATGGATTGGATTTTTTGATAGATAGGAATTTGGTGGTCAATTTTTGTAACTGATTAGAATGTGGTGGCCAAACTTCTCCATTTCTACCCCTGCTGCTTTGAGGTTAGTGAAAAAAGGTCTTGATAGGCTGAAATGTGCCACTGTCTTGTTGTTGTTGTCAGCTCTGATGTCCAACTAGGGCCCATATATTATTTTGCACAAAGTCTGGCTAGTTTGTCCCTTGTAGAATCTGGAAGGACATTGTTGACACATGATGGCATATATTATATGATAGCAATCCAAAAGTATTAACGTTGTAGGTGATGTTGTGTGGGCCTATAATAAAGTTGTTGTTGTAAATGTGGAGGCAGGCTTGGCAAGATGTGGTTCTCATCTTTGTGTGGTTGTGTTGGTATCTCTAGTAGCGGGTAAGTAGCTATTTTAAACTGAGTGGAGATTTAAATGCAGTTATAGACCAACCCCCAGAGCCAAGGAAAATGTAATGTTATCAAAAATAAAGTCATTTGGACTAAGTAGGAAGTATCAAAGCCTGGTATCCACATGTGTGCTTTTGTGTTGTCAATGATGATGTTTTAAATAACAACAGTTTATTTTTTGTTGTAGATGTTGGGAAAGATTACCTCAACATCTATGGTATGGTTCAGCAATCATTAGTAGATTCCAGCTTTCTCAAGAAATCTGTGATTTCTTGTCTTCTATATGATTTGAAATGCTGCTGATTTTTCTGATGTTTGAAATAATTGGGTGACTTGGGTGACTTGGTTTGTGTATTTTAAGTGGTACACATCTTTTGGGGCAAAATACATTATTCAGGTAGAATATATGCTTTACTTTCTCTCTGGGGACTCTTGAGATAGGGGTTTGCTTTTTATATCTGACAACTTATAACTCGTTTCTAATTTAGAATTCTCTCCTATTGCAAAATTGTATGCAAATGTAACCTGGAATTAAGAATAAATGCCAAAATGTACTGTAGAATCAGAACAAGAGTTCATAGGTGACAAAAAATTGGAGAGATTGTTGCTTTCCAAGCTTGCTTTTGGGCTACCTGAAAACATCTTATTGATCATTCTTAATAGCAAAAGACAAGATGTGCCTATGATCACATCTAGCAACCACTTCTTGTGTTTTTATAATAAAGCTTCATAACACATAACTTAAAAGACAAGTCTTAGAAATTATAATATTTGCTGTTAGCCTGTTGCACTTAGAGAAATGTTAATCCTTTTGATAGCTGTCTGCAGTAGTTAGCTTCAAGAAATCTTGCCTTGAGCAAAAATGTAATTTTAAATAAATATAAGGATGTTTTAAAAAACTCCTTTTTCTTCTTTTGTTCAAACATTTATTTTTTTTCTGCAAAATTAGACATGACATTATTGCCATGGTAATATATCTGTGATATTACTATTTGTCTTAACTATCTCTAATCATCCCTTTCTTCCCTTGCACTGTTAGATGCATGTTTATGATCTTCAAAAATAAGCGGCATTCTTTGAAGCTAGGAATTAAATGGTTTATGTATTAATTCAGAGTCAGAAAAAAAATCTTTTCTAAAATGTAAAATGCACATTTTATACTACTTTCTGCCTCCTTCTAACTTTATGCCTTACAAAACTTTGTTAGATTGGTTTCAGAATTTGGTTTGGACAGTTCATTTTTTGTGTTAAAAAGTGTTACGTTTAGGCCTTTTCTGCCAGCTTCAAAAATGCACCAAGCTGGGGAAGAGTGGAAACAGGATGATAGTTGAGATGAGTCTAAAAAGTGATCAAGCACTTGTATTAGTACTGCAGTCACAATAAGCAATAGACCACTTTCTTTCCATCATCAGATGGAGCAGCCATATAGATAGATACTGCATTGGTGACAAGCATGGATTGGTGAATTTTTACAAAAGGCTGCAGTTATTAGAACCTATCTGTTCTGTGTGCAAGCAGACCTTCTCCTCCTTGTTTTACAGGCAGCAGGGTTAGAAAAGCTGAGACTTGTGGGCAGAATGTTTATGTATATTACATATGCATTATGTGTCATGTGTCTGATTAACGAAACACTTCAAAGAACTTTCAGGCATTGTTTTAACCTAAAAAGCCTTTATTAGTGTTACAGAGATGTCAGCACGGCATGGTGGAAATGCTAAGATCTGAATTTCTCTTCCTTTGCACATAACATTCCAGGCATTTCCCCTCCCCTATTTTGGGGTCATGATTCACATCTTCCAATTAACTCGGAGGGCAAAGATTCAGTTCCGTTTCTCCCCCCCCCCCGGGCTTTCCTTATATTCTCCTCCCCTTTCCCTGTCACCTGATTTAATTCTAAAAAATACCAGACAGTTCTGCATATATTGTCAAAGAAAGAATATTCAATATTAGCAGTGTTGACATTATGTGCATTAAGATAATTATATGTATAAAAATCTAATGGAAATCTTGATGGTATCACTGCAAACAGAGAGAAACATGTGGCTCCAATAGGCAAGATTCCTCAAAGTTTGATCATCCTCTATCTGTTATATTTAGTTATTTATTTGATTTCAGCACCCTCCGACTGCAGATCAGATTTGAAGAGCTATCAGTACAAGATTCTCTTTTTTTAAAAAAAATATCAGTGCACAATAAACAATAAGCAAGGTGAAAGGTTTGAGCAAACAACACAGAACAGGTTTAAAGGCAGTGTTTACATGTTCTGTTCTACTGAATTAAAATTTATGTCTGTGAAATTCCACCCTATTAATTTCAGCCTCAGTTTCAACCCCGTCTTGGACATTTTTAATCTTCTCCCTTTCATCTTCTCACTCTGTCTCTGTATGACAGAATTTTTATTACAATAGTAAAAACTAATACAGGATAAACTTAGAGAAAGGAAGGAGCTTGGAAAGAAAGAATAAAAAGTCCAGGCAAAAAGAAAAAGAAGAAAAGAAAAATATAAAGAAAAAAAGAAAATATAAAAAAGTGACTTCCAATTTTCATCGCAAGAGGTATAAACACATATAATAACTCTTTGTCCTGTCTAAGGTTAAACAAATACCTCATCATTCCATATCCCATAAATTTATGGAGTTTTCAGTTGAGCATCTTCTGCACAATGATGTAGAAGACAAATAGCAACAACATGGTATGCTCTGTTCTCCATACAATCGTCCTCTCCCAACTTGGTTATCCTCTGAATATGTGGAGTTCAAGAATTTCCCAGCAAGGTACTGTTAAGAATTCTGGGATTTGAAGACTATACACTTGGAGGGCATCATGGTTGGGGAAAGAGGGTGTAAAACAGGGGTGTCCAACCTTGGCAACTTTAGACTTGTGGACTTCAACTCCCAGAATTCCCCAGCCTGCATGCTGGTTGGAGAATTCTGGGAGTTGAAGCCCATGAGCCTTAAAGTCCACAAGTCTTAAAGTTGCCAAGGTTGAACACCCCTGGTGTAAAGAATTTGACCAATGTCAAGAGATTAGGAGAGACTGAAGGATGAGATTTGATTCATTATTCCTTGATGTAATTTCCATTGGGCTTTTTTCTGTAGCTAACAATAGTTTCTTCTTGGAAGGAGAAATAAGTTTCAAAACATATTTTAAGTTCCAAAGAGAAAGCTGTATGAAGTTAAAACTATTAACCAGTATCTTTTTTTGTTGTTAAGTATTAAATATAATAGTTTTATATAGGGAAATAATTATCAGATCCCTCTTCAGAGAAACATAATTTATTTATTTGTTCATTTAGAGGAATGATATATAGCTTATTCTTCAATAAATTTCTCAGAGTAGCTAGAAACTTTTAATATACAGTACAATAAAATAAAAAAACCGCAAATCAAAGAGGTACAAAAAAGATATTAATAATAAAGGAAGGGGAAAAATTGGTTTGGCTCATATTTATTCTAAATTCAATATGAATTTAGAAATGAAAAAGAGGTTTTTTTAAAAGAAAAATATACACTATTCCAAATGTTGCAGTCTATTAAAAAGGAGCAGGTTATAAATTGCTGTAAATATCTGTTACTCTCTACAGTTTTTTCATCTTCTCCTGAAGTAGTATCCATACTCGTGTACTCTTGTTTGGAGATTGTACATCTGAATTATGTGCCAGAGCTGTGTCCCATAGTTTGCAAAACATATAATGCCCTTTTTAATTAATACATCTTTTTATGTACAATGCAGTGAGCCATGTGCAGATCTGTACATTGGGGAAAAAAAAGAACCACTTCATAAATGTATGGTACAACTTAGGAGAACAAACCTATTAGGATAAGATTTTGATACATTTACTTGTTCTCAAATTTTTACTTTAAAGGCTATCATTCTAGCAAAGATATTACAATAAATTACTTGACCTTTAATATTTCATACACTGGATGGATGAAGATTGTACCATTTACAGGCATCA